AATATAATCAATTTCATTTTCACCCCAGATACTGTCAGACTGTGCCTTGTAGTGAAAACGTGTTATATAATAAATTTCCTCCGGTGAAACCTAGGACATTAAAAGAGAAAAAGCAATCTGATGAAAATGTCAACAAAAAGTAATCAAAAATTCCCCATATCTTAACAATATTTTGAAGAGGAACAGTGCAGTTTCTTTTTTTTTTTTGGTGGAACTGGGGATTGAACTCAAGCCCTTGCGCTTGCCAGGCAAGTGCTTAGTCTACTGAGCCATCTCCTTGGCCCCAATGCTGTTTCTTTTAAACTATTGACTTATTGGCAATACATTGAAAAATTAAATTATTTCAATGATCTAAATTTTTTCCCACAGGCCCAAACATAAACTGATTTTTAGAAATCGTGAAAAAAAATAGAAGTTACTCATTCATTCATACTTTTAAATGTAAAATTCATATTTTAAAACTACTTCTTGATGAAAAACAATTATTTTAACTAGATGAGAGATACTTTACTAATCCAGAACTTTTTCTTAACAGAGCAGTGTATGTGGTAGGTTATTTCAGTTCATCCAATTAATTATAAAAAAGTTAATATATTTCCATAAAAACATGGTCATCTTTGGTATGATCAATAATAAGAATTTAAAAAACAGTTCATGTTACATACTAGTTAGCAAATCAGTCCATCTCAATATTGAGCAAAGTTCTGACAAGTGATTTTAAAATTTGTATTGGACTAAGGGCATGGCTCAATCAGGGGCAGGGAATTGGAGTACAATATGTATATGAGGCCCTGGCTTTGACCCCCAATAACAGAAAAACACACACACAGATGTAACGACAAATAAGCAGAAACATAGATGTTTTACCACATATTTACATTTCAGTGTATACTGTTGTCTAGTAAGACAGTTACCTCTTCTAAGGGAATTCCTAATTCAGCTTTTAAACGCCTCTGTGCTGCTCTTCTCACACCAATGGCCTCATTTTCTTCAAGCTCACTTGGATTATTTAAGGGATGACTACAACAAGTGTTGGTAAAACAATCTGGAAAATGTTAATATAAATATAGTTTAACTTTTTTTCAAAGTAGGTCTGGATGATCAAAGAAAAAGTTTAAAACACAAAATGATTCTTTAGGATTTTTAAATCAGTTATAATGTGCTATTAGCAATTATGCTGTGACAAAAATCTGTGGGTGCTTTTTAATGTCTTCTTACCCCAAAGCAGAAAATCTATCAGTAGTACTACAGTTTAGAAGTATTCATATGAACATAGGCATATGCGAAACCATCTGTGAATAGTTCTGTCATTCCTGTTCCATTAGGCTTTCACTGTCTAAGCTTCTTTTGTGCAGAATACGAAACTGTCTTTCACAGCATCTGCCATTTTGACCTTGGCTTCTGATGTTCACAGTGACAAAAAGTCAAATTCAATACACTTCCATCCCAAATCACCCTTGCACATTACATATACTAACCTGGAAAGGTAATTTTAGCATCTGATCTCTGCTGTAGCAGAAGCTTATTCTCAGTGTTAAACAAGAAGACACTAAAAGCTCGATGCAATAATCCTGAAAACAGAATAAGATTACTTTAACCATCCAATTCTTCTCTTGCAAATGAGAGTACTACTAGTAACTTGCTGCTACTTTTGTTTTTATCCATTGTGTGCTATATGGATTATCTCTTCAGAGTGATGATAAAGAAGAGTTGTAGTATAACAAGCATATGGAAATCACTTGCCAAGTCAAAGAAATGGTGATCCTGGCAGCTTTGCCACTGGTTAAATGCTCTATCAAGAATATTTAGCCCATGGGCCAGGGAGATAGCTCAGCTGCTTAAGCACCTGCCTGGCAAGTGCAAGGTCCTGAGTTTCATGTCCAGTACAAAAAAAAAAAAAAAAAAAAGTAGCCCAGACCCTTCTTTTGTATTCCTGGGGGAGTTGTGAAGGTACAGAACATGCTTCCTTTTTTGTACCTGCCTCTCACTACATTCACTTAATCTAGTGAATAAACCTGACCACTTCTCTTATATACCTGACCATTTCTCTTATGTCAGGCTTAGTCCATTCCCTCTTGCAGGAAACCAAAATAACCTTAAAACAGCTTATTGAAAGCCATGGGATGGAGAGAAGAGGACATTAGACAGGAAAGTAAAAAAAGTAAATAGTATTACTACCCCATTGACTTTAACCAAGTGGCTCCAATCAAGAATTTCATCTCAGCAAGGTGCAGTGGCACAAGCCTGCAATCCCAGCACTCGGAGAGTGGATGAGGCTGGAGGAGCTCAAGCTGGAGCCCAACCAGAGAACGTACTGAGATTCTGTCTCGAAAACGGAGGAGGGAGGCTGGGGATCCAGCTCAGTGAGAAAACCTTGGATTTAGTCTCTAGTACGGACACACACACTTGCTAACCAGAAATGCCTAGACATAACCACTTTAAAACAGAATAGTGTATCTAAAACCGTACCTTTCTCAATGTTCTCATTAAGGTGACAATTTTTCTTAGTGTCAGCTCCAACTTTATTGTCATTTTCATCAATAAGGATACACATCTCTGCCAGGAGTTCCACCTGTTGCTTATCGAGATGGTTGATATTTATTTCAGGCATTGTCTCTAATCTTCTGTTGTGTCCCAGAACACTAACGTTAAAAAACAGGAAGAAAGGCCATTACATACTGTTTTTCTGAATAGCACGTAAACAGAAGAGTAACAGCGACGCCACATCTGAGTCCTGTAACGAATTCAGCCATTTCAAAGGTTAAGAATCAAAACCGCTTTTGAGGACCGAGCAGGCAACGGGCGTCCCTTAATCCCCAAGACGCCTTCGGTCTCAGCGATCTAAGTCCCCGCTTCGCCCGTCACCCTGCCCCTCATTTCCCCACCCACTACGCCCACTCGTCACACTGCCCCGTCTCCCCACCGAACGCCTTCACCCCGGGTCTCTTTAAGTCCTTGCAAAGCGCGACATGTACCTCAGGCAGGAGATGCTGCCAGTGTAAGGCGCGGGCTGTATTTCAGCAAGATGCACAACGCGTTCCGCCCTCTGGCCCCGCCTCCAGAGAGCGCGTCCAATCGTCTTCACCAGCGCTTGTCCGCGCCACAGGCTCTGCCCAATCATTGCTGGCGCGTGCGTGACGTAACAGCGGTGTGGCGTGTGGCGTGGTGGTACCACCCTCCTGGATCGCGCGGCCCTTGAGTCACAGCCTGCGAGGGAAAGCAAGCCAAAGTCTTGTCTCGAGAGTTCGGGCCTTGTCTTCTTTCAGAAGATTTTGGTCTCCATGGTTCCAAGGCCGCTTAAGAAAAGCTCCATAATTAGGGAAACCTCAGAGGGACTGCGCCCAAGACTCGCAACCGGTCTGCAGCCAGTCGTTCATCAGATTCGCACTGGAGAGTGTAAGGCGGGCCGGGGTGTGGCTGCGCGAGGCTGGAGTACGAGCTGACGTCAGACGCCTGCGGGCTTTCTTGGGTGCTGAGCTCCCTGGGGGAAAGGGGGAGGTGGGGTTTGGAGGACACGTTTCCTGGAATCTTACCGTCGCGTCTTTAAGGAAAGCAGCAGGTGCCCGGACTTCTACCTAACAGGATTTAATGGACATTTTTGAAAAGCAAGAAATAGTTGTTGATGTGTTCAATTGGAAGAAAATACCACAACCAGGAGTTACGTCTTTTGGAAATGGAATTTGCCCTCAATAAACAAGGACTGTACATTCTAAAGTGAAACATGGTGCTTGGCAACTGGAGAACAATTGTTTAGCAAAGCCTATTGATGAAGAAGCAGGCTGGCGACCTTCTACCCTTGGATAGAATTAACTTGGCACGTAGTATTATGCTGTCTGGTGGCAATCATTTTCTTATTCAAACAATAAAGCAGGACTATATTTTGAGGAATATTTTACTTCAGAGTAATCTTATTTGTAAATTTTAAGGTAATCATGAAATGTACACATAGTTGCGTTTATTTCTTCTCATGTCTGTGCAATTTAAAATAGTGAATTTTAAAAATTCATTCAGCTATTCATATGTTAACCACCAGTTCTCAAGCTTACTGATTTATGGATAGTTTTGCACTTAAAATTTATTGACCTCAGTGTAAAGGGTTAACAGAGTTTTGTGCCTTAACTGTGAAAAATTATAAAAACCCCTTGTGCTTCCTGTTATCTACTGTAAGAAATATATTCTCCCTTTCGGCTCAAGGCTGTTCAACAATAAATAACTGTTTCTTGTCAAGGCAGCAAGCTAACACAAACTCCCTCCCCAACCATCTATAACGTAGTCAGCTTAAGATGTATCTTGTAAAAATATACACTTATCACTAAGCTGTAAAAGACCTCTTAGTTATGAACAGTTCGCAGCTGTGTCAAATAAATGTAGTTTCTGTTGTTCTGTGCTAGATAACAAATTTGCTTACCAAACTGGATGTGATTTCTGTTATAAATACCCCCTTGCTACCTACGTTGGGGGCCGATCAGCCTTCTGCGTGAGAAGTGGCTGATGGACCTGAGCTCAGTAAATAAAAGGCTCTATTCAAATTTCTATCTGGCTGATCTGGTTCCTATGCAGAGTTGACCCATAACACTCAGTAAACTTTTGCTTACTGTTATCTGTACTTTCTCCTATTGACCTCAGTAAGTTTTTGCTTACTGTTGTCTGTACTTTCTCCTATTTAACATTAAAATTTAAACATCAAAATAGTAACTCTTTAATGATTAAGCAGTGTATATCAACATAGATAACAATTTAAACAAAGTGTGCAAAGTCATTTTTGCAAATGTCTTTAATGTCTGGTTTAACAAGACAACTGTACGTGTTGTACTGGCTGAAATATATGAAGAAAGCCTGACTAACTATGTAGTTGAAAAATTGAGATGTAGCTTTCCAGATGATTAAGTTTTTTGTTTATTTTTTATTTTTTCTGGTGCTGGGCATTGAATCTAAGGCCTTTGCACTGAATTACATTCCCAGCACTTTTCTTTTTTTAATATTGAGGCAGGTCTGGTTTATATTGAGATTGGGCAATTGATAAATTGCCCAAGCTGGGCTCATATTTACAGTCCTGCCTCAGCCTCCCAGAGTGCTGGGATTATAGGCATAGGTCACCACCATGCCTGCCTTGGTTTTTTTTTGTTTTTGTTTTTGTTTTTTTTTTTGATACTATACCAAAACACCAAACATATATTTGTAAAAGCTTATTTACTATTTAAAATCTGAACTCTAATGAATATTTCATGTCCTTATATTAAAGTTGATTTGAATGTATCTTGAATGTATATTTTCCTATGTGTGACTTTGTAATGTACATTGATCATTTGGAAAATATCGATCTTATTGGATTAACTAGGTCTTTCAAATGTTAATGTGCTTTTCATTATTCAGTTTTAAAAACCGCATTTATTAATATCTCCAGCGATCTCATCAAAAAAGTCTTCCAAGTGTTGGAAAGCTGTCAGGTACTTGGTGATAGGAATGAACTTTTAAAATTTGAATTTCTGCATGACAATTCTAGTTTTGTCACTGGCAGCAAGTACTATAAATTGTTTTTCTTGACATGCAGGCTCAGTTCATGTTCCTTTAAGTGGTTGCCAATACCTAGGTATGAACAAATTTATTACATCTGTTATTAGTTGCTGGCAGCAAAAAATGTTTCATGGGGAAAAAATTATCTAGTTCAGCTTACAACTCAGAATTTTCACAAGTGCTTTTCCTGGAGACAACTACAGTAATTCAGTTGTAGAGTGTTGTACACAAACTATTAAAAACGTAAATACTGTTGTGATTTGGATCTGAAATGTCTACCTGAAGCTCAAGTGTTAAAGGCTTCATGCCTACTTTGACAGTGTTCAGCCTTCCCCCGCTCCTCCCTTGTGTGTCCCCTCTCTTGTCTCTCCTTTGTCCCCTCCTACTTTCTCTTCCTGGCTACCACATGCTCCATTGCCTGGTGTTTTATCCCGTGATAGGCCCTGAAACCATGAGCCAAAATAGACCTTTTCTCTTTCTGGATTGTTTCTCCTCAGGTGGTATGTCACAGTTATAGGAAAAGCAAACACAGCACCTTAAAATTAATATTTTACATTTTTAATTTACTGACATAAATATTTTTTGCTCCAAGCATGCGATGTTGATGAGTGCAGTGATTGTTTTATAGTTTAGTAGCATTGCCTTAACCAGTGCCAAGGTAGCAGCAGTTCTGTCCCCATCCTCCCAATCTTGCCCCACCTCCTGTACTCCCTTCACTGTTCCCAATTTTCCACTTGTTTTTGCCTCAGTGATACAAATATCAGCCTTATGAAAAGCTCAAATATTTTTATTTAATATTATGAACAACATGTTAACATCATTGATTCCCCGAAATATTCTTAAAAACAAAAACTTCCAAAAAACATGATAGTACACATTTCTTCAGCATTTAGAGAGATTTAATTCTATATCTTGTAGGATTTGGAAAATTTCACTCATGAGAAATTCGGAGTTAAAAAAGCAACTGCCATTAGCCAGGTATGGTGGTGCATGCCTGTAATCCCAGCACTGGGGAGACTGAGGCAAGAGGATTATTGTGAGTTCAAGGCCAGCCTGGGCTACAAAGTGAGTCCAAGGCCAGCCTAAATTTCATAGTGAGAGACTGTCTCAAGAAGACAAAAAAAGGCAACTGACATTAAATATGATGAAGTTAGTTTCTATTTCATAGAGCCCTGGATGGTTTTCAAGAGCACTCCGAAGGCTCTGGACCACTTTTTGAGAACTTCACATACAGTAGAATGCCTCCTGACCTCAGAGGACTTCAGTTCCGCTCTTGGTGCTGTGGTTTGAACCCTATCGTAATGCTATCAAGAGGTGGGGCCGTGTGAGGTGTGAGTGATTATGTCATGACGGCTCTGTTCTCAGAGATGGATTAGTGTTCTTGTGAAAGTGCTAGAGAGATCTAGCTTGGGCCTTGTTTGTTCTTCTGTTTCCTCCTTGTGAGGACACTGTTCATCTCACCTGGAGAGCTCAGCCGTAGGTGCAGTAATGGAGAAGAAATCAGGTGCCTCACCAAACATGACATCATTAGTCCCTTATCTTGGACTTCTCATAGCTCCAAGAAACAAGTTTCCATTTATAAATTACTTTGTGTACGACACTTTGGTACAGCAGCACAAAGAAACCAGACTGCTATTCATTGGTAAGTAATCCTAGACGAACTTCTAGCCTGATTTCCATCATCTATAATAGAAGTTAGGATGTCTTTCTCTTTTTAAAAATAGGATGAAACTGAAGTTCAGAGATTGCTTGTTAATTTTTGTTTCCCATTTTTTCCTAATAACTGGAAAGAATAAGCTTTTACTTGTCTTATTTTTTTTTTTTTATTTTTTATTACTACAATGCGGGATAACTGCTTAGGCTCCACACACTGATAATACTGACGACATTAGCCATATGTAGGGTCCTTCTGATGTCCTGGCCCTGTGGAATTAGAATCCTCAGAAGCCTTGAATTTTCATCAGCTCTCTGGTGATGTTCTGTTTTGTTTTTTGTTTTGATTTTTCTTTGAGACAGTCTCATTCCGTAGTTCAGAAGGTCAGACTGTCCTTGAATTCACTATGCAGCCCAGGCTGGCTTCCAACTCACAGTGATTCTCCTGCCACCACAGCCTCTCTAGCGCTGAGATTACAGACCTGAGCCACCACATGTAGCTCCCTGGTGATTTTTAGCTAGTCCTGAGCAAACTTAGCAGACTTATTCAGACTGTTCAAGAATCATTGAACAGACTGTTCAAGAATCATTGCCCCATAAGTTATACATTACTTGCTTTAGAAGAACCAGGTCTCTTTTACTAGAAACATTTCTGCTTCTAAAAATATGGCTTATTTTTATCATATATGAAATCTTTTAATCATGTGGTGATTTTTTTTTTTTTTTGGTCAGTGTGAGAAAAAAGAATTGATGTTAAGGTGTAAAAAGGTAAAACTGATAGAAGCCCAAGAATTGGAGCTTTA